AATAAAAACTAAGACTGCTTTTACTCTTCAATGTAAATCGTGGAAATATTGTTTTCATAATTTCCATATCTTTATATCAGATATAAGTACATCGGCTTTTGTTAGGAGGATAAAAGAATTCGGGTTAACAAGCTTGAAAGTTTCATGGCGACAAACTTGAAAGAGCCATAACGAATCTCCCTTGGGTGTGATTTAGATCTAAAAGCGAGTGTTGAGCCGAAGAGAGGATCTCGTCATCTTAAAGAACTTTACTCGTTTGACGACTGCTTTTTTCTGTCGATCTTTGGAAACCCATCTTCAGGTCGAGCATCATTGTATCACGACAGTTTCACCCTCTTGTTCCTTTACGATCCTTATCGATAGTAAAAACGTCGTAACATCCCCGATGGTTCGCCATTAGTGGTGGCTGCGATGTCAAAACAACATCTACTACCGTTTTATATCAGAATTCAAATATTTGTCGAAGGAATAAGAAATGATAGAAGAAAAGAGATAAAACGATTAAAATGATGAAGACGATAAGAAGAAGTTTACTATTAAATTATACTATTATACTTTATTATACTTTAAATCATATTATAAAAGTGAAAAATAATTTTTGTATTGACATATTAATATGACATTATTACTATTTTTCATAACATTACAATTTTTAACTGAAATTTCGATAATTTCTTAATTCTGTTTTGCTTTCTTCTCAAAATGCTTCTCTGTCTGTTGAAATTTGACGTGTAGACAATTTCTATCGACAACTTGGCATTTCAGTTCAAACGCAGTCTCGCGAAGGCCTGCAGTAATTCAAATTGACGATCTCCCGAATTCTGCTTGGTAGTATCCTTTATCGAAAATTCGATCAAACTGTCTTGAATATGTGATTACAGTGGCTTCTACTATCGATATCCAATAATGCTTCGATAGCTGTCTGGTTAGCTTTCGCGTAACTATTTTTCGATAGAGTCATTGAAACGACGGAAAGTGAACTTTTTGTATTTCACGAATATTTTTGGTTAAAGTTAACTGAAAAGGAAAGAGAGAAGAGGGGGAAGGGAGAGATAAGAAGTGAGCTGTCGAAATTATTCTACAAACAAATATTTAGATGTGTTAACGCACATTTATCAAGTTTGTCTTATTACTAGATTCACTCGAACGTTCGAACATTAAGCTCGAGGCAAGTAAGTACACATAATTACGAGAAAAACATTAGATAGGGGAAGAAAGTTTCGCACAAGTTGATTCACAGTAAGAGAGGTTGTGTCCTTTCCTCAGGGAAAGATCAAGAAATTTTGGGGGGAAAGTTGTTAGGTAACTCGTAAGTTCAACTTAGTTTCTTGAAGCTGGTGTTGGTTTAATCGACAAAGACTCAGTCTTTGCCATTTCAGTATGTATTAGATTTAAAAGTGATAATAAGATAAATAATGATGAAAACAAAAATTAGACCACGAATTAAGTCTCGCAGATAATAAGTATAGATTAAACGAAAGCTTATTTGCTTTATCGAAATTTTTTGACTGATATAAAGTTTAAAATTTATTTTAGCCATTAAGATATTTATATATTTATAAAAAATGTAACTATAAATAATTGCATTTCGCAATATACGATTGACAGCTGAAGGCCAAATGCGATTAAGGATTAAGATTAGGATTTTGCACGATGTCATTAGGTTCAACGAAAAGAGCGAAGTCTTCGTAAGTTCCGATCGTGGCTGTCGGAACCTTGATAAATCGTAACGCAACGTCACTGCTTATCAGCGACATTTATCCTTAATAGCGCTGTCGTCCTTCGAGATATCAGCATCAGCGGGTGGAATTCTAACTCTAAAATTATAGTGCAATTTTCAGACTATTGTTCGGTGAATATGTTGAATAGTTTTCCACATGATATTATACATGAATTTTCACATATTCAATGAGATTAAAAACGGTTGTTAAATTCATATTTTTTTGCACGCAGTAAATTGGAATATTTACTAAAGTAGACAGCTTATACATTTTTCATTAGTTTCGTATTTTAGACTGTTTGTTTATTTACATCAGTAGTAGCAGAAGTAAATAAAATTAAAATTATTTTACAAATATATATATTATTTCATGTAAAAAAGGTGAATTAAAATATATATCACAAAATTAATCTATTAATTATTTCATAAATGTGTGTTGACAATACAAGTCGTACTTTATACTTATTGTAAGCTTTGAAATGTAATTTCTTCTGAAACTTGAATTTAAATTTATAATTGAGATTGATGAGACAGGCGGATACATAACTCCTCGAATAATTATATACGAAGAAATCATTGTAAGATAATCAAATTTAGCGCAAAATAACTGTCGCTAAAGAGTAAGAAATAAAGGGTGGTTCTAAAGAAAATCTCCTGAGAGTCACAGAGATGGATTTCAACTGCTCCCGTGGATATTCTACGCGCGATTTCTCGTTTCGCGTCCATTCTTGTGAATAATTCATAAAAACGATAAAACTTTCAATGTCGGGTACAGGCAAAAAAGTGTCGACAGTCGCAAAAGTCGAGCAAGAGGATCATTACACTTTTTATTCCCACCTTTAGTCAAAGCTGTCTCGAACTGGAAATATTTACAATATATTAATAGTATAAAGCACGATTGAAAAGCTCACTTTCATTGGTATTTTATTGAATTCGATTGTATATAATTATAATTATAATTGCATTGTAGATAATTATACATAAAGCATAATAATATCAGAATAATACGTACTATTAGCGAAACTAATAATTATTAATCGTACAATAGTCATTAAAGCTTTTATCTTTGTCGGTATATCCAAAGTACGGATTTCGTCTATTTCAATTTATTAATATTATATTAATATTATATAATATTACTAATGTTACACGTTATATCTTTATTTAATATGTTACTTTTTGTACGAGATATTTCTTTTGATAAAGAATCGGTACAACATAATTTTAATAAAGAAAGAACAGATCGTACAAGAGTACGTACAGCTTATCCTCTCATTAGTGATGTATCAAGTACATGCATGACGTACATACACAATGTGGATTTATGTCTCTCGCTTCCAGCTGGCGACCCAGAAAAGAGGATGCCGATATTTCCTCTGCATAAACCGAATATCGATGTCACGCAAACGGCAAATAAATCAAAAAAATTTGTGAAGTCTATGCATTTCTCATCATACTAATATAAATTTATGAGCTATATTTGGACACGCGCTCTATTTATAAAAAAGGGGATATAGATAGTGACAGTCTATTGTAAAAGAATATTTATGAAAAATAATATATCTATTCTTTTACATAAAAGAATACATGTATCTTTTTATATTTTATTATACAATTTTCTTAGAGCCGGCAATAAAATTGACTTGTATTCTATATCATTATCTATTTATCACAAAGTGGTTGCACTTGTATCTACTTAAAATAATTTAATATAATTTAAAAAGCTGTCAAATTATTGAAACATTCCTTTTTCTTTGAATCTTCTTTATGTAGAATTTTTTTTTCATATTTCGGGTCGCTGTCTTTAGAGATACTATGTTTTACGAACAATTTCTTTTTAATTGAAAATGTTCAAGTGTGATATTTCGAGCTTGATCTTTACTACGAGCTAACTCCGTTATTCTTGCCTTTGCCCATCGCCTTATTAATAATCGCATTTTTCTGTGGTAGCCGTTCTTTAACCAGAATACTTTGCCTTCGTTCATCTTTGAGATGGAAGAGCGATAGTTCTCGTTTGTAACTTTTCTCTATCGCGATCGTTCCTTTGTTTCCGTTAGCGGCGGATTCCTTTCTCGCTAGAAGCCGTTCGGTAGCGATTTATGAATTATTCACGGAATGGGCGAATTATTCACGAGGATGACTGCACGAACCGTCCGCGACACTTAATTGTAGGCAACCGAAAAGCGGGGCAAATCCATAATTTAAGAGGACCTCCCATCTTCGTCGCGACTCGCTTGCACTCCGATTGTAATAAAGAATGATATACAAGAATGACATGTTTTAATTTTCGTATATTAATTGAAATAGAATTCTTTCTCCATTTTAATATGGAAATAATATGAAAACATACAAATCTATCGATAGAATGACGTTTTAATGATGATGACAATGTTTTTGTATAATCACTTTTATACGAAAAATAAAAAATTTTATTTTTCAATATTTAATAATCTCTTATTCGTATCGGCATAAATACTTAATAAATTATAATATTATTATCATTATAATAATAGATATCTATATACTATTATTGAATTATTAGTATAATTTTATTGTAATCGTTATAAATTAAAAAAAAATCTGTCATTATAGAGTTTAATAACGTTGTAATATTTTCATTAAAATAACTCAATTGAAGATTTAAATAAATCCAAAGAATCACGTCCCTTTAAAACTAAATTTATATTAAATATTAAAATTTATGTTAGAAATATCGTTTTTTTTTAATTAAATTACATTTCTCTTCGGTTGACATACGAAGAGAAATGTAACTGATATCTTTTTCCTGTAAGTGGAGTGATTGGCGATTATCGAATTTATTTCTTTGTGAAAACTTTCGTGCGATTGTTACTGATTGTTACTCAACTTCCTCGATATCAAGATATTTTTCCCACGAACGTGTGTTATCGCGCGGACGTAATGTATTACGTTCATCCTCGTATTCGTTTCTCCATCTATTCTTTATATCACGTTATCATCCCAGTGAGAATAATGTAATGTGTTCGTGGCTAATCTTCTGAATATTTATGATTCTTTTATTATTTGTGTTTTCGGTGCCAAGTAATTTTCTGTAATTACTTTTATGCTAATTATTCTTCGAAAGTAGTATATTATTTTCTAATTTGAATTAAAATATATTTAGTAAAGAATTGATATTTAATTCCTTTATAAGTGTTATGTAAAATTATTTTTCTTTCATTATCTGAATAAAGTTTTATTCTGTAATTATCAATGAATCAATGAATCTTTTAATAATTGACTGTATTTTTTTATGTTTTAGCCTCTTCTCTGACTTGAGGAGCCTGGCAGGAACAACCCTAATGAATCTTTTGGCAGCTCTTTTCATGGTTCAATTGTTGTTCATCGTAGGCGCTGGAGGAGTACAGGTACGTTTCTTTATTTCTATTCATTACGAGACAATTATCTTGTATGTACGAGATTAAATTTTTTCTAAAGAATCCTTTATATATGAAAAATTTATAAATATCTACTACTACATCTTACGTAAAATATGAAATATAATAATAACGCTCCAAACACGTTACAAATATTGAATGATTATTAAAAAATTGTTTGAAAATATGATATCTGACAGAAAATTTCTTCGAGATGACACATTCTCTGACAAATTTGAATTATAATGGTTCCAGATATAACTGGAAAAAGTGAGAACTACATTGATATGACATTTTTCATTTAAAATTACCTTTAGAATCTATTAGCAAAATATTTGTATTTCCTCTCCGATTCCTTTTATACAAACATAATGCGAAAATCGACTTAAAACCGTCGAGGTGTAAATTCCGGTGGCTGCTTTTGGTTCTTCCGCTTTCAGAGAGAAGAGAGGGAGAGAGAAAGAGAAAGAGAAATTCCGTTTCGTGTTCGGCACATCAGCGAGAGTGCCGAGAAAAGCTTTCGTCGAGACTTCCTTCGTCTAATGTTCCGCACTTGAATCCTCTTTAATTAAGCTCCGAGATCCACAAGCTCGTCTCGAGACGCGACAGATTTCAGAATTTTTCTTTTTTCTTTCCTCTGTTCGTTCTTTCTTTCATCCGGAAACATCCGAGAAGCGATGTCAGGCGTCCTCGTACATGAGGATGCCTAACATTGCCACTCGAATTCTCCCGGCGAAATGCGATGCCGACAAACGGGAGAAAGCATTCCGGATTCTCTCGAGCGATTATACCGCAGGCAGAAAGAGAAAAGTCGTAGGAAGACGTTAGGAAGCGTTCAGAACTCAAAACGGAAATTAGTGCAGCATTCCTATTTCCAAGTTTTAATTGCGTGTCGGTGACATCAACTTTTCGCCATCGGCGACAGGATTTGTGCCAAAAATTTTTCTCATTTATTTCCATGGATTTTTATATCGCGTGTTATTAATTTTGTCACATTATCCCACGGTTATTAAATCAGCTATAAATCGCATTTAATGACTTCAACGAGATTAAAATCGCATTATTGGTCATCCTATCTCTACACCATTTATTAATCATCCCTATTATTGAGGTAGACTTTTATAATTATTTTTATTATAATTGGAAATAATGGGAAATATATATTGATTAACTTCGCTGATTAAATCTATTGAGATTATACACAGAAAATTTATACAATATTACTATCGAATATCTTAAAAAATTATTTTCTATTACAAACTTTTTCTATAAGCTGTAATTTAAATTATTTGAAATCTACTTTTTTTTTTCTAGAATATAATAATGTAACAGTTTTTCTTTTTAGAAACGCGCCCTAATATAATAATTAGTAGTTGCATAATGATAAATGAAAAAGAAAGAATGACATAGAATACCAACCATCAGTCATAAAAACGTTACGAATATTATTCACTGGCAAAAGTAAATTTCATTGCATTCTTCCTGCAGAAATGAAAACGTGTATATGTCATACCTGCTTTGAAAGGAGAGAACGAAAAGAATTTCTCTTAGATTTAACAACGAAGAAACAAGCGCACTCTCGTTTCTTCACCTTTAGATAACGAAAAGGTTCGCTACATTTACAGTGATATATTTTTCTTCGTGGAGATTGAGACAAAAATATATGCCGAAATGTATGTATAAGCCAAAAAAATCCATGCTGAAATGAGATTCTTTTTAGGTCAAATGTTATTCATCGCAGTTCTGCCGTTACAAATCGTGGCCTTTGATCTTTTGATATTCTCTCGTGAAATGAATTTCGTTTTAAAAATGTAGGCAAAACATAAGAACTTTTTCATATGTTACTCATCGTAATATATAATTCAAGTTCATATTTGTGATTTGATATCAATCAATATTCATAGATTCTGTGAAGAATAAAATATCGTAATAGAATATTTTCATATCTGTTTTACTTGATATCCACTAAAATAGAGAAAATTCTAACTGAATATAAAATTCCTCATACGATATGGACGAAATTAATTTTATTTTTTTCGTAATTTGAATAATTTATAAATATTGTATATGACAAATTTAATTTAAACATCATTGCGTAGTAAATATTTTTTTTTTTTTAGTTTTCACGGAAGAATTTATTCATTTTTGCTAAAATGAAATCTATATGTTATTTTTTTATTTTATATTACTTTTATTTAATTAATATCATTCACCGGAAATAACCGAATGGTAACATGTGTAAAATATATTTTTTCGTTCTACATTTGCTAATCACCGAAAAAAATAAAACTAACTGACACTTGAACTTCATACTATCAATAAATAATGAGTACTAGTTGAGAAGACGAATAAAAAGAAAGTAAACCGGAAATAAATCGACGATTTTACGCATGAACGGAAAGAGGAGAGGATCGTTTCAGTTGAGAAAGTGTTTTTTCTACGTGGTGCTAAATTTCACGATCGCGAACTAGACGAAATTCGCTACCAAGAACGACCTTACAAACGAGTGATGTATCTCATTGTACATGTAGTAGGCGGGAAAAAAGAATCCATCTCAACGAAGAAACATTTACAAGCGAACGTGTTAAAACGAGGTCGAGGTACCATCTCTTCGAAAGCCCTTTCATGTAACTTCCTAATTGCGGTCTTGTTTCGTATCAGTACGCAAAGACGAATTTACATTGAATATATAGGACGATGAGCGAGTTTCTGGTGTAACGTTAAATTTGAAATTTGGAAACTGGAAATTTGGAATTACATTTCAAAAGATTGATATAACAGTCCAATAGCGTTTCAGTAAAAAATTCATATGTAGTGGAAATCAGTTAAATCAGTTAATCAGTTATTATGCACGCACAATACCTCTCGTAATTACCGTAAAATTTTAATAGTGCATTGCATTCTGGAAATTAATAGCTCGTTATATGTTAGAGATTAATTACAATCGAAAATCCTGATAATGTATCGGAGTTACATTAGTTTTCGAGTCATAAGTAGGTCAAAGCTGACCAGTGGTGCGCACAATATGCACAAGTAACTACGCTTATACGTGTACCGATTCATCATCTGTTATTGATTTATTTTCCCAGTTCAGATTATATCGAATTTTTCCTGTTCAGCTAATTTACATTTTATACGTGCTTGTTATCAAGGTATTACATATACTGTAGTAATCAGCTAATTTTGACGAGTTGATCATTAGCAGCAAATTTTAGATGACATGTACAAATTATATAATTTTTTTGTAAATAAATGATAATGTAAATGGCACGTTATTGAATACGCGAAATTGTCAAGCTGTCATTCGTGTGACAAGCCGCTCATTGTTATCTCTGTGCACAAAATGCGATAATTTTCTGTGAATAATTATTTGGCGCATAACATTTATCAATATACGCAATCGATTAACTCCATAATTAATTTGATTTATAAACATGTCAAAACGTCAGGAAATGGAAATTTTTAATTACCGTTCCGTTGCGATATTTACGATAATTATTTTTTTAACTGATACTTGTTAGATTTATATTTCGCATCACACTTTGAGCTTTTCCTCTTTGATTTAAATGTAATTTATCCATAATTTTCGGACGGCATTGAACAATATGCGCCTCACCAAATCGAGTGATTCCAGTAAAAAAGCATGATACTCGATCATTTATTAATAATTAAATTAAAATCAAAGAATAGAATGTTTGATGTAAATTCATTTTACAAAACGTTAAACGTTTCTCGCAACAATAAATCGACTGACACACGTCCTTGGCATTTGTCCTTTTTTGTTAAAATTTGCTAATAATAGTTAACTCGGCAATATCAGCTAATTACTATTAATTACTATAATGTTTATAATACATATTAGGTTTCAATCTTGGCATTTTCAATTTTCGATCTCCAGAACACGCTGTGTCTAAAATATTATACATTTGTATGACTTGATATTCTAACAATTAAAATTAACTATGAATATAATAAATAAAATATTAGATTATATACGTTAAAGAGAAAGAGTTATTTTTATATGACATATTTAACAAATATATTGGTTAACAGTTTTCAATATACTGTTATTAATGTACGACTGTTGATAAATCAGCATTTTGAAAAACCGATAACATAAATTTGTGAAATAACTTGACATTCTTTTTTATCCGGCAAGATAAAATATCAATAACAATATTTTTCGGCGACAAGACAGATGCAATGAGGAAGGGAGAAGGAGTTTATTAGAGACAGCAAAATCTCGCTTTATCATACCGCTTGACGGAGATAAATCTCTGTGTTGTAATTTCGCGACCGTCACGAAGCAATTCGGCTTTATTGTTACCTCAGATGAAGAGAAACGAAAAATAAATTCAACCACGAGATCTCTCGCATATTTTCTTGATCCCGATTTTGAACAATTTTGACACACGGTGCTCGTTTCTGCGAAAATTGAAGAACATAAGAGAAAATAGAGGCAACAGAGAAAAAAGAAAAAGGAAAAATCGATTTATTAGTCTGAAGTAGTAAGTACTGCGAAATAAAGAATATATATATATATATATATATATATATATATATATATATATATGTAGATAGATAGCTAAAAAAGTTAAGATAAACATTGCAAGAATATAAAAGTATAAGTAAAAATCAACATAAAAGAAATGGAAAAAATAACACGAAAGGTTAGCCCTTTTTTACTTTATCTAATTAAAAAAATAAAACTTTTAAGATCTACAAGAAATAATATAATAGAATCAAGAATATAATAGAAAATAATCTGTGAACATTATTAAGATTTTATTATAAAATGAATAGGAATTTGAAATAAAGAAGAAAATTCTACACTTTGCTAATGTTATCTACTATAAATGATATAAGAAGCTCTAAATATAAATTTTTCCTTTTTCTCTCTATTACTGATTATCCAAATATATCACATGGCCTCACATGCAACTTTCATGCTGTGTTTTACATTCTCACAGCGTTTTCGGTTCCATCCAATG